CCCCCCCCCCCCGTCCACAAATGCAACAACTGTTGCGTTGCAGACTATGTCGTCGGTGCAGCAGGCCGGGCTGGTACCGGACATCGAGATGCTGTCTGCCGCAATGGACGCGTGCTCCAAGGCCAGGGACACCGAGGGGGCGGTGCACTTTATGGACCAGGCCATTAGGCTCGGGCTCAAGCCGGACGACACCATGTTCCGCGAGGTGCGTGTGTGTGTGTGTGTGTGCGGTTACTATTCGTTTCCCCCGGAGAGAGGAAGCTATGATAGGAGCTTGCCAACCCTATTGCCCTGCATCGAATCTGAAACTATGCGGTCAAAATGTCGGCCCATGAACGCCCAAGGCACAAGATTTGCCGAAACATTCCCGCAAGCTACAGCCTCATGTGGGCTGCGCCCCCTCTCCCGCCGCGCTACACCCTGGTTTTCCCCCCCAGGCCATCCTCGCCTATAGTCTTGCCGGAAAGTGGGTCGAAGCCCGCGATTTGGCCTTGCAGTGGCGGGGACAAGCGCCGTCACCTGCGTCATCATCATCACCAGGGGACGATGGTGGTGGCGCCGTCAGCGTTGGTCTGGGTATCAGCCGCCCTCCTCCGCCGACGGTGTGCAACACGGCTATCCTCAAGGCTATGGGCAAAGCCGGCAAGGTGGATGAGGCGATTGCCTGGCTCGGGGACACCTACGACGCCGCCACCGCCGCCGCCGCCTCCGCCACCGCCGCCTCTGGGGCGGGTACCACCAAAGATGAACAGGGAAACATTCACGGGTTTGTTTGTCTGGACCACTCGTCGTTCATGGCCGTGCTGTCGGCGTGCTCGAAGGCTGGGAGGTGGGGGTCAGCGCTGTCGGTGCTGCGGGAGATGGATCGCGCCGGGGTTACCCCGGAGACCGTCGCGTTCAACACTGCTCTCGCGGGTACGTTGCTTCGAGCGAAGGGGAGAAGGGTGTGTGTGTTTCTGTTATTTGTTATTAGCATCGACCGCGCTAATTGGGTGGCCTACGAAAGGACGTCAGTCTCCGTACGGCTGAAAGCAGAAAGTGTTTGTAAAGGTGATGATGAGGGACCCTCTGTGTGTATGTGTGTGTGACAGTGTGCTGCGGCGGGGGCGCGGGAGGCTGATGAATGACTTGTCTGACGCCAAGGCCATGGCATTAGAACATGGCACTCGCCAAAGGGTGGGCTTTCTCATCGCTCTGCCTCTTGATCGAATGGTGGACGTTGTTGGTGTGTTTGCCAGCTGGATGAAAGGCTGGGGCGGCATGGCTCAGGGTGTACGCATGAAGTTTTTCAAGCGTCGGCCGGGAAAGTTCCGGCAGAATCTTTGTGTTCGATCCCACGCTCAAAGGTCAATTGATGGCTCTTTCGGGTGTTCGTTGGCCCGGCGTATCCGAGTGCGTGCGTGATCCGGCAAAAGTTGCGCTTACCGTACATAGGCATGGCATTTCAATGCTGTGCCTGAGACGTCGGGGCCGGGGAGTGCTCTTGCGGAGGACGGAGAGCTCGTTCGAGGTGGTCATGGTTGTAACGTTGGTTGTGCGTAGGGCGAGGACGGCGGTGGGAGCAAGCAAAGAGGGGCTCCCTGCCCGGCCAATATCGTCATGTGTTTATCGCCAGAGTCTGACTGTCGACTGTCGCTACCACACCCACGCCCACCAACCCCAATCTCACCCCCGCTTCACCGTGGTGGAAATCAGTACGGAAGCCTACCGCAACGAATATGGTCCAACCGCGATTTGATTCCGATCACGCTCCTGATCACGACTGCAAAAACCGTTTGCCAGCGTTCGAGCACCGCGCTCACTCTGGCGGTAGCAGCAGCGGTGGTGGCGCTGCCAAGAGAGAGCCGCCCCGCTGGCCCATGGCGCTAGAGCTCCTCGCCGACATGGAGAGACGCGGCGTGGAGCCGGACGTGGTGACGTACAACAGCTTGATCAACGTCTTGCGCTGGGGGGGGCAGCGGGACAGGGCGCTCGAGATCTTGGACGGCATGAACGCGAAGGGGGGGGCGGGGGGAGTACGTCCCGACGTCATCACGTACAACAGTGCGATCGCCGCGTGTGCCTCGGGGTATGGTGGGGGTGGTGTGTTGGGGGGTGTAGTTTAGGCGTGGGCGTGTTGGGTCACGGTGACTGGCCGCGTACTGTGTTTTCCTACACAGCGCGAGGAGAGTGCCATCCAGCGTTTGTTTGTATCCGAGCGAGCCTTGATCTTGTGTTCTCGGATGCCGGTGTCGATTGTGCGGTTCTGTTGTTCGATTGTTCGGTCTCCAAGATAAAAGCGCACAACCGTTGTTCCCTCCCCATAACTCCCAACGTCGACAAACGTTTGTGAATACGTGCGCCAAGTGTTCGTTCAGGGCGCGGGATGTATTGGCCGATCGTGAAAGTCAACGCGGCCGCACAAACCGATTCTACTCCCCGTCTCACCGTTGTTTTTTCCCCCTTTACGTCTCTGGTCCCTTCATGTTCTGCTGCTTCGACTTCCGCAGCGGCGAGTGGAAGAAGGCGAGCCAGTTGATCGGGGAGATGCGCCGCAAGGGGCTCAAGCCCGACCGCTACAGCTACACCAGTGCCATACACGCCTGTTCAAAGGCCGGAAACCCCGAAGAGGCGCTGCGACTGCTGAGGGCAATGGAGGCCAGCAATGTGGGTCATGCTCCGCAAAATCGACGAGAGGTTTCCATAGGACCACTACAGTTAGCGCCCGTGATTCAGAAACAAAAATTGAAGAAACCAAGGCTCATATTTTGGGGATAGTAAGACAAATCGACTGAAAAACACACCTCAGCCGTGGATCCTACACTGCACCCTATATAATGAAAAACCTATGCTCGACGGTGGTGGCGAAATAAGAAATTGAGCCTCGACGCCTGACTGATGTTTCTCAAACGCGGGCACTAACTGTAGCGGTCGCGGAACCCTCTCTCCCGTACCCCCCTGCCGATTTATCGGCTGCCTTGTTGAAGCCCAGCGGAAGCACAATTCCGTCATTGTCCCTCGTTTTCGATGAACCAACTCTCTTGGGTCTTGCCATGCCCTCCTCCGCGGAACGCGCTTGCGACGGCAGGTGGTTCCCGATGTAATCGCCATGACGGCGTGCATGGATGCCCTGGCGGCAGGCGGAAAGTGGTCGGAGGCGATCACGATTCTGGACGAGATGCGATCCAAGGGGGTGACTCCCAACGAGAGGACCTACAAGGTTTGGCTCTGCGCGCCCCCCCCCCCGCCCGGATATTGACTCGTAAACTGGTATGTGGTGTTGTTCCAACCGACAGCTCGTTTTTTGTCTCTATTTTTTGTTACCTCCGGCGGCTTGGTTCAACGGCCCATCGTCGTTCCGCTGTGCACGCCGATAGCAGTTATTTTGTTCTACTTTCCGACATGCTAGTGTATCGTAGTTGTGTCCTGACTCTTTGTGGCCAGACTGTTGCGGCCAGACTGCTTTCGTGACAATACTGCTGCCCAAGGCAGGGACGTTCCCGTTGCATGGGGCGAGCTTGCCCTTGTTCCTGCTGAGCCCGCGTGGCTGCTTTTCGCTCGCGCTCGCCTGTGTGCTCTTTCGTTGATGGCCGCTCGTCTCTCAGGCGGCGATACAGGCATGCGGACGGGGAGGGCAGTGGCAGCGCGCGCTGGAGCTCCTGTCTCGCCTCGAGAATCGGGCATCCGGGGCGACAGTCCAGGTGTGACGGCGGGGCTAGCTAGGGTGGATCTCGCAAATGCGCAGGGTCAACCAGTGTAGCGTCCTCAGTTGACGGCGTAGGCTCCGTCCCTAGGTCGACGACTGCCTTCAAGTAGAACACCAAATCGACGACTTGAAGTCCATCCCTACGTAGGTCGGCGGCTTCTTACAAATGCAGGGGTCCTCGCTAGGACACGTTGCAACGGGGGCGAGGTTTTATGTTCCTCCCGGTAGTGCTTACTCTCCTCGTGTATTCTGGCCATTCTCTTGAATCTCCACCCTGAGCAGTAATGCACGTTGTGACGCTGCCCCCATCCTCAGGAGTACAATTGCGCCATGATGGCGTGTGTAACCGGGGGCGAGCCTGGGCGAGCGCTAGCCCTGTTGGAGCAGATGAAGGCCAACGAGGGCGGTGTAAACGCGGGGCCCGATATGGTAACCTACACAAGCGCGATCATGGCCTGCAGTTCAACCGGTGAGGGGCGACTGGCCATTCCCAGCTGGCGGCTATTCAGTAGGTGCTGTTTGTGAAGCGAAGGCGTTTGACCACGAAATGGAGGTTTTTGTGCTCGAAGGCTGCGTTCACAAAGTGCTCATTAGTTCTGGTCAATGTACGCGAGAGGCAGACGACACGCAGTTGCGACATCAGCGAGCGCAGTTATGTCCTTTGCCGGTGGTCGAACCAAGTCATTTATTGCAGTTGTGGACGGCTTGTTGTGTGTCTTGTTGGTCCCGTGGTGTCAAGCATGTGGTCGGTGATTTTCATCTTCCTTCCCGGAACTGCCTAGTTTTCGTCCTCAGCGCGGGATCTCCCATGGCTTTGGCGTTGCGAACGGGCCCTCTCAGGGGCTGCGATGCAACATGGGACAGCGAGCGTGGTGGTCGTGTAGGGTGAACTAATGGTGGAGGGAGTTTCCAGGTGGTGGTGCTCTTGTTGCTCCATTTGCTGACTTCGTATATGTTGCTTGATCTCATTCATGTTAAAACGGCGGTGTTGTTGTTGGCATCATCAAATATCCTGACCATAGGCTGGTACTCCATGTGCGGGTCCGTACTCTCCCCCCCTTTCCCCCGTTTTCCCTCAAGCAGGCAAGTGGGACAGAGCGCTGTCCTTGCTGGACGAAATGCGTGAAGCCGGGCCCCGCACTCAGCCGAACATCCGCAGCTACACCGCGGCCATCGCGGCGTGCGGACGGGCAAGGAAGTGGGAGGAGGCGGTGGCTCTGCACTCGAAGCTCTTGGAGGAGGGAATGTCGCCCGACCCTGCCAGCTTCAACGCCGTCATACGCGCTGCGAGGTGGGCATATCTTAGCTGGCACACCTTTTGCATATCTTAGCTGGCACACCTTTTGGAAGATTTACCTAGTACCTGCTGGTAATCTACTAGGTATTTATCAGCGGGCTCATAGCTACAACTTCAATATGTTAATGGACAAGGTGTGAATTGGTCCTGACGGCGACTCGACCGCACGGGCGGATATCTCGCCGTATGTACGTTACCCCGAGACGGCGGTCCCGCGTCTAGACCTCAACTCCTCTTGCGGCTGCTTGCTTCCACCTCCTCAACCAGGCGCGGGGGGCAGCACAAGCTGTCGATGAAACTGCTGGCATCCATGGTCGAGGCCGGCCTCACGCCGGACGCGGTGACTGTCGGAGAGCTCATCTCTTCCCTCTCTGACCGAGGGAGGTGGGACGAAGCCCAGCGCGTCGTGGAGATCGCGGAAAAGACGGGAGCCATCCCGGCCTCGTCCCTGGACAGCGACTTCGAGGTGGACGTGAGCCACCTGCCACCTGCGATCGCCAAAGTCAAGGTGCGCGATCTCGGGGGTCCCGCAGGCGATGTATTAGTGTGAAATCACGCGGTGTATATGCACGGGGTTGGTTTCGGTGGCGAAAAATCATGACTCGCGGGTCATCTATTTTTCTGTTGGTGCTATTGTTTCGTGAAAATAACGGAAACGAACATATATGGCTGACAACGAGAACAGTTATTCTTGACCAGCCACGATGCCCATCAGGAGGCACACCCCTCGGTTTAAGGCTATGGGAAAAGCGCTGGGCCAGAAAACCATCGGGCACAGCGGTGGAACGCAGGACGCCACGGCTTTTGAGCACAATGCAACGATTTACTCGTTAGCCCCCTGCCAAGAATGCAGGTTTACGTTTTGGTTGATCGCATCTACCTTGGAACGGCGGCCAGCCTCGCAGACCAACTGGAACAACTTCCTTTGCCCCCCCCCCCCCCCCCCCCCCCCCCCCCCCCCCCCCC